CATGCAAGCAGCGGTAGATAAATGTCTGTTGCGTTTGTTTGAGAAGAGTTGTAATTTTTTTTATTTTATTATGTAGGGAGATCTTATAAAAAGATCAAACTTTTAAACTTATTGTAACAACTAAAACTGTAATAAGTTGCACAATGAAAACATCAACTTTTCACCCAAACATGAGCATCTAATTTAATTCACGTGATGAAGTAAAAGAATGTAAAATTATTCAGATACAAGTTACAACACACATAAAACTGTGTAATCCCTCCTCACTTACAGATCCTAAAAGTTTCCCTGAAGCACCAAAAAATCACATGAGATTAAATTAAGCGACCAAATAAAGTCAAATAATATTTATCATGACGAATCAAGAGAAGATAGAATTATATAAACCTGATATGTACTATGTGAAAATTCCTCATTATTTGCAGTTCCCGAGAGAGAGAGAGGAAAAAAAGAATTAGAAGCAAGTGAAATAACAAGTTTCTCTAAAGATTATATACTATCTACTTCTTTTCATCATATGATTAGAATATTTATAGCTACAAATGGAGACTATCAGAATTCACTACTGATTTTTGGACTATAAAAAAGTGACTCTTAGATACCATTCCAAAATAACTAAATGACACATAAAGACTAATAACAAAATGTAACTCTTATTGCATTTAGTATGTGTTATTAGACATTAAAGCCGTGTAAACATTCATGCATGTGGTGGGCTTTGCTTGCTAATCCACGTCCATAACAATATGCTTTGAGTTATAACAAACGTATCATTCAAAGTTATAGTATAGTTTATAAAATATTATAGGTGTAAATTTTGATCTCCTGAAAATAGGGAACTTCGTTTGTATTAATAAGAATGCTTATTACAAACTAATCAATCGAAATTACAACAGAAGCGGAGGGAATGCCCTCCTTGTTTAGTGTGGGGACTTTTCGGTAGCTACAGGATGCTTCGCTCGATGCTTGTGTCGAGTCTGCTTCCCTTGGACGATTCGACCGAGGTCGCTGGAGAGCTTCAGTACACAGTAGAAACTCGGTTTGATGGAATTCGGGTTCTCGAGTTCGGCGGCGATCAGGGCCCGGAACTGAGAGGGGATGCTACAGTGCAAGAGGTTATGCAAAGAGCTTGTCGTCAACTCTTGTGGGAGTCGAGAGCTGATGGTTCAATTAGCTGATTCAACGATGAGCGAATCGCTGGATGGCTGAGAAACAGCTGAACTTCTTCTTCGTAGTTGGCAGAAGTTCTGAACTGGTGAACTGATCAACCCATTGAACCCCTTCTTCGTGGCTGGAAGAAGTTCTTAAATGGTAGAGAGACGGCGTGGTCACTCCTTGAATCATGGGATGTGACCATGACTGTCAAGAGATGTCTTGCCGCCCATCTGTACTACGAACGGTCACTCGATGGGGTGTGTTTCACGTCATGTCACGTAGGAGTTGGAAGGCCCCTCCTCGTATGCGAGACAGCGGACGTCCACTACTCAAGTGGATTTGGCCAGCCTACTGTGCGCCGGCGGATCTAGCTCTTGACTTGGACCGTTGAGCTGAGTCGCATTTATGAGCGCGCAGGTTGATTTGGCGTCTGTCCGATCATTTGTACTGTGAGCGGCCACTCGACGGGCCTGGAGTACTGTGCTCTCTCCCTCTTTAGGTCGGAAGAGGTGGGAAAGCGGGTTCCCAGTATTCGAGTGGGTTTGGACAGCTCGTCGAATGTGGCTCAGACAGCCGAGGTGAGCTGCATTTATAAATGTTCAGGTCGACTCGACACCTGCCCTCTCACTCGTACTGTGAGCGGCCACTCGACGGTCCTGAAGTACCGTGCCCTCTCCCTTCAGGTCGAGAGGGGTGGGAAAGCCCGCCTCAGCACGTGGGGTAGCAGATACCTAGCTATACTGGCGGCCTTGAGGTTTGCTGGCGAATTTGACTACAGACTCGGTCAGGCGAGTTGTGATAAAAGGTGAATTCCCGTGGCTTGGGCGACTTCTCCTTGCAGGCGAATTTCTCGCAAGCTCACGGAGGTATTTTTTACCGTCTACAAATATATTATAGTATACATATGGATATATTAAAATATATTTTAGTATACATTCTTCTTTTATGTATAATACACTATAGAAATAAAGTTTAGCATAATATAGATATATCAAACTATGGTAAATATTTATATCATATATTAATCTTAAGTGTACATATTGTTTGATTATAATTATAATTATAGTATAATATATAATATAATATAATATAGATATAAAGTTCATTAATTATTAATATCTAAACTTCAGTATAAACTTTTTATACTATAGTTTAAAATTATCTATCTAACTATACTAAATATAAGATTGGTTGTTATGTGAAAATTTTGAAGGGGTATAGTTTATGTATGTATGCATGTAGACACACTTGTTGTCCTTTTATTGGGATCTTCAATGAACCGAAAGAATAAGTAGCACAAAATTTTATATAAAACACATCAACATAATTAGAACTACACATCCTAAAGCAAATGATATGTAACAAAATTCTTTTAGCATTGAAAGATAGACTCGGTGACTATCGCACACAAAGATTCTCTCTCTCTCTCTCTCTATGGAATTATCTTTTTTCCCTAAATCGTTTTGTCTCAATTTACCCCAAATACATAAGATGAAAAAGAAACAAAGAGATGTGGATAAGAAATGAGTTTCTTCTATTACGACAACACACACCACATTAAAACTTTAATTTAGATAATATAAATGCATCCATCCAGGCACAGAAGTATTAAACAAATGTGAATGGACGGAACTCATGTCTCAACTTCATCATGAGCTCCTCTGACACCCTCCTTCTCCACTGAAACCTTCATCACCACCTTCAAATCCACATTCGTTGCCTTGATCGAAATATCTGCCACTACTTCCTTCGTCAGAGCCATCATCTTCACTGAATCAGCTACAATTGCCCATCGAACCCAGCTGCTCCGTCTCCTCTGACATCATCCCCAACCCCTACTACCGAAATCGCCAAACTTGCTACAATCACCTTCACCAAATTCACCTCGCCGCTAATGTCGAGCTTGCCTCAATGGCAGAAGCAGATCTTTTAGTATTCGAACTCCCCCTCTTCCTTCAATTTCCTTGCATTAGTAGAGCAAAGAAGAGTAGCAGGGGGGGAAAATGTAGAACTTAGATACTTTAATCATTTGATTTGACTTAGTATTTGTTATGTGAAGAGTGGGAAAGAGGGGACCTGGGAAGGAGATTATATAGGAAATGAAATGAAACAGATGGAAGTTGAAGGGGTTCATGATAATTTGTTGGAGGTATCAAGAGGAGCTCACTTGTCAAATGTGTTAATGCACGAAAAGAAGCTTTCCAAACTCATGGTTTTCTTCTTTATGAAATGTTTTCATTAGAAGGACATCAAATTTTCACTCCTTAGAAAATCTAATTTTCGTGGGGACCGCTTAAGGTAGAATTAGAGTAGTGTGGAGTATTTTCTATCTTGACATGTGTCTCTTTAGCACTATAAACTATTGAAGTCTGAATAAAACGTTTCATCTATGCCTTTAAATAAGTGCACATAAACACCAAGTTATTGTTAACAATTTGATTAGATAACTATTAATTTATTAATTTAATTAGAGTTACATAATTAATTTTTTTAATTTTTTTTAAACCACTCTAGATGAGATATAAACGTTATACGCAGCTAACAAGCACTAAAAAAAATTTAATGTTTAATTATAATCTTATACTATTACAAATCTAATGTTTAATATAGTTTTATACTATTATAATCTAATTGAAGTTGCATTATTACATAAATATCAATTCCCACAGTATATTAAAACATCATACACTTAATAATCTAATACTATTATAACAATTGATTTAATTGTTTAACAAACTAAAGAATAGTTATAGTATAGTATAAACCTTTAATTAATGTGATTTAATAAGATTGAGAGTTATGATAATAGAGTAAATTGGTTAATTTTTCATAAAAGATGAAGGGTGTTTCTGGCAAATGAAAGTTTTTCTAATACTCCCTCTTTTAATACTCCCTCTTTTAAAGGGAGAATGATAAGACGTTTTTCGATATAAATTTAATCCGTAAGGGATAACTTCATATGTGCTGGGGAATTTTGGACTCAATGATATCGATATAAGAAAGAAAATTAAGTACATATTTCATTTCATCTAGTATTTAGAAGGTGTCAATGATAAGTAACCTACTTAATCTACTCTTAAAACAACCTTAAAGACTTTTATGAACATCTCAAAATTTTATTAGTTTGACTATTATTAACAACAGGCTCGCTATACCGTTCGCTCATTTCCCTCTTCAAGTAGGTCAGTCAAAATATGTTGTCTTCATCATAATAAAATAAAATATTTTCCATAAAAAAGGTGATAAGAACAAATTTAAGACCTTTTCTGGTGCTTTAATTGTACGCAACTCCCCCACACTGATTTTGACAGAAGGCGTGGTTACTTCATACTCCAAACAATTGAAAACTAGCAAGCTCCCCAAAAAAGTCATGAACAAGAGCATGCTTCAGTCACGCTAAACAAAATTCAGGTGAAGGGAGTTCAGCTGCAACGGCAGAGCATAAATTATTACGGAACACTGCTCATGAAAGTGTGACTGTAAAGCAGTTCGGAGATCTCAGCCGCGGTACAGCTTAAAACACCAGTACAGCTTAAAAACACCTGCTGTTCTTGGTATGGGGTTTAAAACACCCTGCTCACATACAAAGATGTTATGGCAATGTTTACACTCACAATTATCATTTTTATAGGATTAATTGCAGCTATACCGCATACGCGGTAGTAGGATGCAGAACATAGAGTCGCCATTCATTCATTATCTTTATAGGTACTGTATAAGGGATGCACGGTCATCATTTATAAAGCGAGCACAAAGTTGCCCGGCGATATACTCTAAAATATCAGCCTTTGCAACGTATTAATGTCACGTAAAGCCCAATTTTCAAACGAAACAGCCAAACAACATATCACAAGAAGTTCTTTTCCATCAGCCGTAGCAAAATAATCATGAATACCCAAATTTTCAAACGAACAAGTTCCATGCCATCTCGCTGAACTAATACTATGGAAAAATATATATATATTGTTAGACGTACAACTATCTATATATTTCAAACAAACCCTGACCTTTGTCGAAAGGAAGCACGTAGAACCTAAAGGCAGTGATTTTGCGTTCATATTTGACAACTCCCCTTTCCTTCCACTGAAAACTACTATTTTCTGCAAAAAGAAGTGATGCTTACCAAACGAGGCCTCACACACTCTTCCCATTCCTGCATACAGTTGAAGGAAAAGAGTTACTAAAAAGAAGACCTAACATAAATATTGAAAGGGAAGGTTAAAGTTCATATATTTCAAATTTTTAATGGATGAAGCTTAACAATGAGTCAACCGGACTTTAAAAAACAACAGCATACCTCTTTTTTTCAATTTCATATACAGAAAAAAATTAAGGGGAATAATATATGAAAGGCGAGACTGAAAATATGATGCCAGCTCCCTGTAGCTTCATATAAAAAATTGAATTTGACATCAACCTAAGCAGGAAGGCAGTAGCAATGACTATAACTGGATATACAACGTAAAAGCACAAATAATTCATCATCAGGGTCCAGCGCAACAGACAGCTAACTGGATGAACTTACGACCACTACGGATTCACGATTTTCTTAAAAAGCGGGAGGCAAACCTCAACGATGATCAAAGCAAATACGCCAAATAGCTTGAACTAGGCCAAACAACGAGTTAGACTGATTGCAAACTGGATAATCTGATACCTGTATAGCTTCTGGATTCTGAACACAGTAAAGACTGCATCTTCAACATCATAGTGACAAACTAGTACAAAAACTTTTGTCAGATAATGCTCCTAAACTCAGTAGGAATATTTCCCAACCACATTACATCAACACCCAATTGTCAAACAATAGATAATCCAAAGGACGAGATAATTCGAAGGACTGGATTCATCAGAAATACCCAATTTTGGAATTCTGCATACTAGAGAAAAGTTTCAAGTACACCCCGACTCATGGCATTAAATGTGCACCAAAAGAATGTAAGCTCTTAGATCATTTGATTTTTGGATTCGTGCACAGATCCAAGGTTTGATAGGAATTAGGTGCACATTTATTGCTATGAACCGTCCCATTAGATAATCTCTCGTGCATACACACAGTTCAAGTTGTACATATCTTTATTACTTCCAGATTAGCCATAAATTGGACCAGGCTCAGAACATCTTCAAAAAACCAAGAAGATACCTCTTACATAATTTGCTAGCTTGCCAGTAAAAATTAGTTTTAAGTTTTTTAAGACCCTTCTGTTGCGACTTCCAACTTCCTTAAATTTCCTTATCAGTTTCATCGACAACCAAAGGTTAGCCACAATAATGTACTGTACAACTATGGGTATGTTTGAATATCATTTTGTTGTTATGTTTTTCTGAAAAAACACAACACCATGGTGTTTTTCTTCGCAATCGTTTCAAAACAACAGCGTGAATTTATTTTTGTCAAAACACCAGCGTGAATTTATTTTAACTCTTTTCATACATATATTATAATATTATTTCATATTATTAAAAAATATATTATATAAAAATAGTGCTGACATAATATATTATAATAATATATCACACTATAATATAATATATTATATTAAAATATAAATAGTAATTGTTAAGTTTTATTAATACTTTATTTAATATAATATATTTTATTATAATATAATAAATTAAATAAAACTAATATTGTTATAGCATGCAAAATAGTTTAAGTGTTGGTCCCATTAGGTGATGAGACATGTCCCACCCCGTGACTAATCAGCCGCATTCACAGAGGGACGACTTGAGCAGCTCCAACGGTCAATCCAACAAGCCGACAACTTGTGAAACCGACCGAAAAGGCGGTATTTGTCCATAGGATCGAGACGAAAAACATCCTCACCACTCTAATCCATTTCCTATTGCCATTCGACCCTTCCAAGTCGATAAATTGCGAGGCCGACTAAAAAGGCAGTAATTGTCAGCCTCCAACAAGACGAGTCGGGCGACAGTGTGTCCTCAAGCCCCCCGCCAATAGTCGATTGCTATCACCTTACATGTGTCGTCAAGAATCATCATTGCTTTAGCCCCAATAGTCGTTATGACTCATCGGACCTCGTTAGCACTATGCGCCTCCTGTCACTCTCACATTAAACGCCTGGGTGACTCAACCCTTCAACGATCGACACATGTAAAATAGATGATGACTAGGCCGCCAGCTTGACTCGGCCAAAGTTACATATTTGCCTTTCTGACCTACTATAATAGGTAACTGTCTAAGGATAAATGAACGGGCTCCTAAGCAATTCTGAACAATTTTTTTACTTTATCTCTTACTTCTCCACTTAAGCTCAAATACTGACTTGATCGTCAGAGGAACCACCGAAGATCCCAACTCTGGCCTCTCACGAGTTCTTCATATGCAGGATAGAACATCTGGCACAATAATCAACCATCTGAGAAAGCTTGAGGACCCTAACACCCCCATAATCTACATATAAACCCCATGTTCGATAACCGACATCAACAAATATATATCTTTTTGAAATGAATAAAATTAATATATTATTATAAGGTTTTATATTATTATAAAATAATTAATATATTAAAGTATAAAAAATTTATAATATAATAAATATATTAACTAATATTATTAATTACATTAACTATACTATAACATTTACTACATTAACTATAATATAACATTTAATAACATAATAGATTACTAGTTTCGTAATAGAAAACTACATAATATATAGTTTTACTTTATAAAGACAATCTTCAAAATCAATGAATCATTATAGTCATATCTCTTGTTTCCTTTTTTTGTTATTTCTCCCTTACTTTTCTAGTTTTGATTTGTCATAACTATATGTCACTAGCTAACAGAGAACCTAATTCTTCTTCATAAAATTCATTCTTTTTATTTGTGATTTGACCATTGTGTTAACCCAGACTTACAGATTATCAAGACTACTTGCCAATTGTTGTCCTATTCATAGCCAGAAAATGTCTAACATTCTAACGATAATATGGCTAAACTCTAGACCACCTATTACTAAGCCAACTCTCAGGTAACTATTCTCTCTTAGGACCACTCAAATCTCCCCCACAATGTTTAAAAGAAAGAGATGAACTATAAACAAGAACTTAAAATGGCTCTTCATTAATTTTAACATTAAATTAGACATAATCTTAGCTAGAGAGGTGAGGGAAAGTTCTCCTAAAGATTGAAGAAAATACCTTCAAGCCTTCAAAATGCGTGAGATTGAACTGCTCTGATACCAATTTTGGTCAATATCCGCAGATACTATAAACAAACACATATTCAAACTATTCAAGAGAGTGTTGAGAGATTAAGGAGAGCAAAGAGAATAGAAATTATCCAAAGAACAACACTTCTCCATCCATTCATTCACTTCTATTTATAGAAGTGTTTAGGTACATAATAATTGCATACACTTTATACCTCAAAATAAAAGGAATCAAAAGTACAATAATTTACATAACTTTTATAATGACTTAACATAAAACTAAACATTTTGTACATGATAAGAAAAAGAAAAAAAGAAAAAGATGATTTGATAGCTATCATTTACAAATGACCGAAATTAGTTATTCAAGTTGCAAATCTATAACTTTTATCAATATTTACAATAATGCTTATACTAGAGATGTTTATTGATGTTTAATGCTTTTGTTCATCACCAATAGAGGCACCTTCATGGTCATAAAATCTTGGATCAAGAGTTGCTAATTCCATATTTATTACCTCTGTTATTAAATCACTTAAATTTGTAAGAATATCTGGTAGCTTTTAATCTCCATATCTAAATTTCAAAGCTTCTTTTAAAACTTTGCGATGGACTTTTAAAAATAAATCTTCCTTTAAAGGCATGTTATCATTATGATCACAATTTATTTTTAAATAATTTAAGAATACAATTCTTAATCCGCCAGTCCAATATTCTCCTCTTCTTATAGCTTCTTTTTTTAATACTAAACATCCAATCAAATTAAAAATTTGACTTTCTTCCCAATCAAATCCTTCTTTAAAAGTGAGCTTCGGGATGTCCGGTTATTAGTTTCTATAAAAACCATACTCAAAATGAATGGCAAATTTCACCTTCTATTTGAACTGTACAAAGTGAAACTATTTCTATTTCAACTCCTTTAATTAATGGATTCATTCCCCGAATTACATCTCTTATTACTCTTGAAAAATACTTGTAGTGAGAAAATGACCCTCTATCAATCATGATCTTTCTAACTGTTCCTCTTTCTATGTAATATGCAACTCTATGTATCAATTAATTCTTGTTTTAAGATTTTCCTGAGGTTCACATTCTCTAAAATAAAATGTTAAATATAGTACTGAACTTACATCATAACAACATAGTCCTACATTTCTAAAAGAGTATAAAGCTAGCTTATTGCTCTTTTCTTCAATAATACTAATTATGTCTGCTGACAGTTGATTAATTTGTTTTATTAACCATTTTCTATATTCTAAGCTTTGTAGGGTCCATAATTCAAACTTTTTAATAAAATCCCAAAATTCTCTATCTTTTATTAGCTCACTCGTTTCTTTTACATAATCTTGAATTTTCCTTTTAAGCTCTTCCATTTTTTCTCTTTCTATTATTTCTTTTAATTTTAACTTTTGATTTTCTTCTTCTAATTCTTTTACCTTTAATCCCAGTCAATTTATAACATTTCAAAGCCGATAGCTACAAAATTTGCCAATTGTAAACTAAATATCATTGAAATATTGTAAAGTCTGATCACTGATTCCTGAATTTCTCCAAATAGCTATAGCTCTGAAGAGTTCCTCAAATGCTTTTACGTGTAACCACGAAATCTTATAAAGAATTAAAATAACCAATAGATCTCCTTCTTGAACATGTATTGTTTTTTTAGTATAATTGATTACATGTAATTTTACTTCAGTATCATTCATACCATAAGATCTCTCCAGTAAAAGCATTATTGTGAATATTAATAAAAGTTATTGATTGACAGCTTGAACAACCAATTTCGGTCATCTATAAAGATTAACTATCAAAACATCTTTTTCTTTTTGCTTTTTTATCACGTAGAAAATCTTTAATTTTACATCAAGTCGTTATAAAAGCTATGTAAATTATTGTACTTTTGATTCCTTTTCTTTTTGAGGTATAAAATATATATAATTATTATGTACCTAAAACACTTTCATAAATAGAAGTG